TTCGCACATAATAAGCATGTTCAGATACACCCTGGGGTGTTAGTTTTCTTTTCCTATTTTTTGTTTCCTTTTTAGCAGCTTTCAATAAGTAGCACATTTTATTTTTGAAAAAAAGAATTGGAGCTGTCATTGAGCAGCCGCACCCTAAGGAAGGTCAGGAGATTAGGGAACGGAAGTAGGCTGGCCAGACTCTTTGCTGACCACAGTAAGCGACTGCCACTTTCTTCCCATAATTAATTTTGTGACTCTGATGAAAAGGCACCTCCTTAAAAAAATCTCTACTGAAAAAAAAAGAGTGAAAAATTGTTAGAAAATGGTCATCAAAAAGCGATCAATTTAAATTTGTCTTACAAACAAACCACATGGAACTAACCACAGAGCAGACATGGATTTGCAATGATATATGGACATTCTCAAAATATGGGCATGATTTTGCAGAAGAGAGTGGACATTACTAGCTTCTGTTGTTAGTGAGCTTTGGCCTAATTTCACAAGTATTCCGAAATTCTAAATGTTGCACTTCATGTATCAGAGAGCAGCATATAACAGGAAGCTTTGCATTTAACTGGCCCAACTCCATGCTTTACAAGCAGGAAAACTGAGACCTCATGATAGAAAGTTTAAGGTCATCTGTCTGGCAAAGACAGTTCAAGGATTCATACTCAAACCCCATCCCAACCTGGGCTTCTTTCCACCTGAGCTAAACAACTCCCAGATGGGAAACTGCAAACCCTCACATTTACTTGGCAAGTCCTCTTTCTAAAGAAACTCTATGCCCATTCCCTTGCCAGTGGCCCTGCACATTGCCACAGGCAGATCATCTGTCGCAACCTGAACTGACTTCCTTAGCTGCTACTGAATGGCTTCTTCAAAGCAGTCTAGGCATATTGCATGTGGCTCGACGGACTCAGCTTCCCACACTTTATATTCAAAAGGTGCACAGGCCATGACATAAATGCCTAAATTATCTGTTTGTTACTGGGATGGATGTCACCATCTCTGCTATCATGCAATTTAAAACGTTAAACGTCATTTTCAGCTTCTTTCTCACTCTCTCACTTTCTCCCCTATTCTCACCAGTCCCATTGACAAGTCCTGTAAGTTCTACCTTGAAAGTGTGTCCCATGCTCGTCTCCTAATTTATATTTTCACAGGCCCTCTCCGTCAATGTCTTCCTGCTTCCCAGTTCTCACCACTTCGGTTCATGGTCCATGATGGCTAGACCAGAGGCATCTCCATCAGCTGCACTGATATTCTCCTGTTCAAATCCCTGTCACCCATAGGGTAAAATCCAAAGTTTTTAACATAGCATCCAAGCCCTCCCCAACCTAGCCCCTGCCTACTTCTGGAACCTAAACACCATTAGATCCTCCCATCACCATTTACTCCAGCCCAACTGGACTACTTTCATTCCCTAAATATTCCAAGAACTCTCTTCATTGACTCCATTCCTTCCTCCTCTTTTCAACTTCTAGAGGTCTTCATTCCTCAAGACCCAGTTCAAATGCAACCTCCTGTGTGAACCTTCCCTAAGCATCCAGAAGGCAAAACTCATTCTTTAGTGTCCCCTTAGCACATTGCTTATACCTCTTTCTGACACTTTTTAAATTCTGCCCTGTATTATAATAAAGTGCATCTCTCTCACTAAAAAGATGTCTTTTATCTTTGAAAAGATGCCTCATTCATCTTTGTACTCCTCCTCGCCATAGCGTTTCATCCAATCCTTTGCATATAGTAAGTACTTTTCTTCTTTAATATTAAGTCTTACTATCTGCAAGACAGCAGGCCAGGCAGAGTAAGGGCTAGAGGGGGAAGACACAAGATAACTGAAATGCAATCCCTGTCTTCAAAGGAGCTTTCATCAGTGAGACATGTTCACAAATAATCTCAGCAAGTGAACTAACTATGGGGGTGGAATTGGGTGGAGGGGAAGCACTGAATATGGAACAAACATTCTCTGCATTTTCAATGAGAACACTGGTATTACAATATGGAGGGTGGGGTGTGGGGGAGGGGATGACAGAAAGAAAGGGCAAGGCTGCATTTAAATCCTCTCTCTGTGCTGTGGTCATTATTAGAGGCTTGTCTAGGTTCACTCATCCAACCCATCCTTCCCCATACCAGAGTAATCTTGCTAAAGCAAGACTCTGATCATTTAACTCCCTGTGCAAATGTTTGCTGTTGAATGTATCAAGCGGCAAATAATTGCAGGCTTATGCTAGGAATTATGGAGAATACCAGTTTGTAGAGATGAGACCAACTCCAGGAAACAGCTGAAGAACGAATAACAAGGAGATGCTTTAAAAGTGCTGGGGATGAAAGACAAAGTAAGGGTATGGTCAGCGTGGGCTGAGATTAATCAAGAAGTAATAATTGGAGGAGGCAAGCCTTCGGTGGATGTCCACTTGGCAAGAAAAATTAGATGTACTAAGTGAACTTTGGGGTTCCTTTCCATTCTCAGACCCTGTTATTCTTTGAGATGGCTTATTCATTCAATAAATACAGACTAAGCACTTCCACAAAGCACTCACTAAATATTAATTGAATGCTTTCTATGTGCCAGGAACTCTGCTAGACACTGGAAATAGGGCAATGAATAAAAGACTTTGCACTTAAACTCTTACAGTAAAATGGGAATGACTGCTGTTAAACAAGGAAGTGCAACAAAATGTGATGGATATAATAATGGGAGGGTATAGTATAAGTTACTATAGGACCACAGAGCTGGGACCCTAGCAGCCCAGGAGCTAGAAAAATGTCCCTGAGGGATGATGTTTAAGCCAAGACCCTAAGGCTGTACATGAGATAGCTAGACAAAAGGGACTGAGCATTCAGGCAGAAAAATATCACACGTAGAATTCTGTAGTTAAGAGACAATGTGGCATGTCCAAGGAACTGAAAGACACCCAAAAAAGCTACAGCATAGATGGCAAGTAGTAGGAAGGCAAGAAATTAGTCTACAGAGGTAAACAGGGACAGATTATAGAGAATTTTGCTAAGGTATGTGAAGGAGTTTATGTTTCATTGATAGACTTTTGGTAACAAAGTATTTGGCACAGTGTATCTAGCCTACTAAGTACTTAATAAATGTCTGTTGAAGGGTGGATTAATGAATGGACATATTAATGGATGAATAAAAGGATCTCCTTTGCAATGAAGTGGGCTCATGAAATGACTCAAACTTCAGCATTTGCTCCAGAAAGTAATGACACTATTATGGGTGGCATTGTCCCCTTAGGTTTGCATAGCAGATTTAACTCATGACCTCTGAGAGGCAGCCCATAACCTAGTAGAATTACTCAGTCACCTAGTTTACCCCAGAAGACAGAATTTAAGTAAATCTGCATTAAAGTCTAAGTTTTTCTAGAGATAAGGGTAAAGTTTTACCTGACAATCATTTAGGCTTGTGCTGTGAAAGGATAGCCTCTTTCTTAATCCTTGATGAAAAAACAGCCTTCTGAACCTCAAAGGGCATGAATATTCCCAAATTAGGGTATTCATAGCAATGCTCACATGGACAAATAAATCTCTGGAGAGAAAGACAGGAAAAAAGATTCCAGAGAGAAATTTTGCCTTTCAAATGAGACAGAAAATGTAAGACAATTGTGAAGACCTAAACTGAGTTCCTCCTTTGGACACCCAGGTTTTATGAGTCACTGAGCCTTGCCTCAGATCCCAGCTCTTGAAGAGTCACTAGTTGGGATGAGTGAGCTGCCAGTATGAGGTTGTCTCTAAAAAGGGGGAGATTTTCGGAAATACAAATGTCATTCCCAGAATTCTAATTAATTACCAGGCTGAAGATTAACACTCCACCCTCTTGTTTATGACCAAGAGACTTTCTCCTTATTTGCTACATAGTTGCATTCAAAATGTGGGAGTTGACTTGGCTCCAGGTATAAATAACATTCAGTGCCTAGAAGAAGGGTCCAAAAACTATTTCTGAAGTGATCACAGTAGCTAAGCTTCATTTGGCTCAGAGAGAATCTGAATAGAGCTTTAGATTCTTAACCCGTTGCTAAGGATGTGTGTGTATCTGTGTGTGTGTGTGTGTGTGTGTGTGTGTAAGTGTGTGTGCTATTCATATGTGCTGTCAATCAGCAATGTCTCCCTAACATAATAAGCAGCCTGTGAAGGTTGTTTGCCATTTTTTTTTGAGAGAGAAACATGAAAACATGCCTATATAGTGGCTTTCTAGGAAATCCATTCTGTGTGTTTCATTAGTCATGTAAAGTACAACACCGTGAAGGGAGCCAGGTGCACCCATGCTCAGCCAGCATAGAAGCAGTGACACCTTCCTCCTAAGACTGAGTGAGTCTCTTGGTGTCTTAAATCCCAGGTCTGCTGACTACTTTCTCAGAACCTGCTCAGACAAAAACTCTAGCACTGGTTGTGCAGCCGGACTGGATTCGGAGCTTTCTTAAGATGCCCCTTGCTCCAACTGGGAGCTTGTAAAGGATTGCATAGGTGCCCTGAGGTGAGGGGATGTGGCTGCCACCTGTGTGCCTTTCATCCCAGGCAGCTGTGGAAATGGTAAGGGAGGTGTCTGGCTGGGGGGATAGCTGTAGATCATTTGCAGTCACAGATCAGCGGATGGACTCTTGGATGCCAGACAATATTTCCTTCCCTGCAGTTATGCAGTGCACAGCTAGCTGGCTGCTCGCTGCCCCTTTGCTCATCCTTGAGTGGCAGCTGGTTCTGATTCAGTCTGGTTTGCCATGAAGCTTGTTGTCCCAGCATGCCATTCTTCATGGACCTCACAGATACAATACAAGACACACTGAAGTCATGGCATTTTACTACACGCACAAGAGCTTGAGAAATCAAGCGTTCCTGGGGCTGCAGTCCCCAGAATACACCTGATTGTGAGCCAAACTGTTTCCCTTTCTCCTTCTCTCCCTGTGTATCATTTGCTCTTTTATTTTGCATTAAGAGTAGCTTAGTGATCATGGACTTCAGCTCTTGCCTGTAGTGATCCTGTTCGCATTTTATTCTTCACACAGAATAGGAAGGAGGTTTGCTTGCTTTGCGCAGAGGCTGAGCCACGGGAGAAAGCAAAGCCAATGTGATTTATTGAATGAAAGCACTGGACAATTACCAACAACTTGCTCCTCTGCTGCCTTGAACAACCTAAACTGGTAAGTCAAATTTATCGTTGTCTTTCTTCACAATAATATGGGGCTTTCTTAGTCACTGCTTATTTTTTAAATGTGTGTGTGTTGCTGTGGTTTAAATGATATAAAAAATCTTCATCTTCCAAAGTTAGCTGCAGGCAGTCCACAAAGAATGCACACAAGCACACACACAATGGTCTGCAACAGCACATGTGTCCATGTGGAAAGGCAAGGAAGGGGGTGGGGGAGCCCCATTTCTGATAATTGGGCATTTTGTTTGCAACAAGCTTGAGGACATTATGTGCTTGTGTAACTGATTAGTACTAGTTTTGAAAAAGAAATTATTCTTTTGTTGTGTAAGATCATTTTCCAATCGGATTCCTGAGTACCTACAGAATACCTGCTGGATCAGGTAAAGATGGATTCCATCATGCTGATAATCCTGAGGACAAATCCAGCACTATTGCTGTCTTTAACTCAGTTTGCAGGCCTGACATGCAAAGTGGAATGCCTGCGTTCTGTCCATCCCGGGGGAGAGTGTCCGTGAAGAACACCAGGACTATGACGCTGAGGGTATCTGCCAATGGGACATGGGAGACATGCATGCAATCCCTTGCTTGATCCACTGCCACTTTTGCACCCATGTTCCTTAAGTCCTTTCATTATTGCAAAAAGATGTCTGCTTGGTAAGCTGCCCTAGGTTCTAAGTTGGACATTGTAAGTGTCCTGTTACCCATTCTGGTTATTGGCCCAGCCAATGCCATTGGAAGTACCAATGATATTCAAGGCTATGTTTGCATCTATGCTGGGCCCCCAAAATGCTCATAGTCACTTCATTTCTTCATTTGAATAAGATGTAAACCAACCTCTGCAGAGGTAGAAAGTGAATGGAGAAAAATCTGTTGCTTTTCCCACCACCATCTCAACCATCCACCACCACCACCACCACGTCTTCCTTAGTCTTTTGTTTGCCTGGCTATGTAAGCTTTATGGCTGCATCAATCCATCTCTGGTGTGCTCAGAGTCTGTATAAATGTCATACAGAGTTTAATGGCTTTGGAGCACTCTATCTGCCATCTATTACAGGCCATTCAAATGACCCTGTGGCCTTGGGTGCTGGCAAAGATGGATGATGTTGAAACAGTGAGCAGCATGCTTCTCTAAATAAAAACCAAAGTTAGGAAATCTGAGAGATGGGTTAAAATGTGCCTTGTAGAAAGTATCCCCAGGCCACTCTACTGAGCAAAGCCATTCTACTATACAATTTGGCTATTTCACAAATGATGGCACTCTAACAAGGAGGAGACAGAATTGCCTAGTGGTTAGAGAAACAACTTTTGCTACTTCCCAGGCGGTGTCTTTGAAAAATTCTCTTAGTTCCCCTGGATCTTCATTCCTTCTGTTCCATCCATTCCTCCATGCCTTCCACTCCTGATTGTTTCAAAGAAGACATGCTAAGCTCAGTTAGTGTATCCATGAGATATTACTTAAATCTTTCTGGTTAAAGGGTGCAATAGGTGATCAAGATCATTGTTCATGCATGCATCAGAAACGTACAGATGAGCGTTGATGCGGGGATGAGGAGGTACATGTCCTTTCCCCTATCTAAGGGGTGCAGAGCACTCTGAAGCAAGCATGATCATATTAGGGGAGTAGCAGGGTTGAATAGAGCTGAAGATGGCATTTAAAAAATTCAAAGCCAAATAAGTATGTCATGTAAATATTTTTTTTCAAGATCAATCACTAATTTTCTGTACTTAAGATGCCAAGATATTGAAGATCTTGAATGTATCAAAACAAACAAACATGCAAATATTTGGGAGGAGTTAGTTCAAGCACGAGTAGAATCTATGTAAAGAACTTTTGTTAACTGTCAGTTGTTTAAATTACCATCACACCCATGCACATGAAATCAGCAGTTGCAAATATACTATGGTGTGAGGAGTTCTAGAAGGCTCATTTGCCAAAAAAATTTGTCCCATCTCTAGAATTACTACCTGAAATTCTTTCATCAGGAAGTCAGTTAAATATTTCTGCCTTCTATAAATGCAAATTTTTTAAGTGGAATAATAAATTAAGCCACTGGTACCTTATCATAAATGAATGTATTAAATGTCTTCTACCTCAGGGGAAATCCAAAGGATATTGCATTAATATTGTATTAATTCTTCTCCTATTTATTTTATACATGTCTCTAAGAACATCCCTTATAAGTATTATTTCACTTTTGATCACAAAACTAAGTAGCCTTTAGGATAAGCTATTTCCTTTTTATGGAATCTTGGATTAAACAATACCATCTAGATTTCCCCTTGAAAGCCACATTGCAGAAAGCTGAACTATCTTTCTCATTTTAAATCCACTTTTCTTCCTCTATTTCTCTTCTTTAAAAATTATTGGTAGAACCATTATGCGCCTAGTCAACCAAGCAAGCTCATAGAAGTTATCCTCAGGTTTCCTGTCTCCTTTAGCCCCTCCATCCAGTCACTAACCAAGTTTGGTCCATTTTTTTTCCTTCATCTTTTTAATCTTCCCAGCCTTCTCCATCCCCATTGTCACATGCTAGAGTTGAAGTCACCAGCTCTCACAGGGACTTTTTCAAAAGCTTCATACTTGGTTGTCCCCTGTCCCTGGTCCCCGAACAGCCATCTCCCCTTTATGTCACCCTCTGGATGCTACCAGAATAACTCTCTAAAAATGCATATATCTGCTTTTCCTTAATATTCTCTAGTGCTTCCCTGTTGTGAACAGGTTGAAAGCTATTTCTCTTTTTTATTGCATGCAAAGCACTTGATGGTCTGGTCCTGCTACCTCTCCAGACTTCTTTCCCAAAGTCCTGACATGGTATACAAAATGTACCTTTGTTAGTATCAGAGCCTAAGAGAGTACCCAGCAGGCACTGAACCACTAGCAATATCATGGCCTAACCTGAGCTATTATACCTAGAATGCCCTTTTCTTTCTTTTTAGCTAGTTGATTCTTCATTCACTCTTCAAAATCCTGCTCAGACGTCACCTTCTCTAACCCATTTCCCCACATCCCCTTCTCCGATGACCACTTCTTGTCACCCACAAAGTTAATCACTCATCCTTCTTGCCTTAGGCATTTGAGAACAGCATTTATAGGTTAAAATCTCAGATCTAGACCCATATTGCCCAGGTTTAACCCTAGGTCTGCCCTTAATAGTGCTTCAATTTCTTACTACATAAACGAGGATAATAATAGTCTTTCACAGGCTATTATGGGATTCAATGAGATGATATATACAAAGGCATTATTCCCAATAGTGCCTAGATCACAGAAAGTGCATAAATAAAAGCTATTATTATTCCATAATTTCACCTATCACACTATTTCATAGCTATACACATTTGCATAACTGTCTTCCTTGCTAGATTGTGAGCATCTTGGAGTACTGATAGGGTATTAACCTGTTTCAGTTTTGCCCAGGACTTTCCTTCCCAGTTTTAGCACTGAAAGTCCTGCATCCTGAGAACCCCCTCAATCCCAGGCAGACCAGGACAGCTGGTCACCCTTTGAGGCACCCTATCTTATGCAACTTTAAATCCCTGGGGTCTATCACAGGGTACACAGATTGTAAAATAGATGATCCATAAGGGTTTATTGAACTATAGAATCAATATTAATTGTCTTTCTACCTTCTTCCTCATAAGCCTATTTTCAAATTTCAAAAATCAGTCTTCTTGCTGTGAAATCACAGCTGTATTTCCAAAACACATCACTATTTTTAGTAAATAACAAGTATTTTCTTAAATGCACAGGAACTGGAAAGTTTGCTTCATCCTGTTAATATATTATCAGTGCAACAGAATTGGCCACGCTTTAGCAATCAAAGACATACCTGTCATGTTAACAGTGGGTGGGGACCAGAAGAGGGGTCACACTTTCTTTTCTGTCTAGTGACAGGAAGGTTGAAGTCTGAAGGTCCCTAGTTCACATCACAGCCTGAAGAGCAATCCTGTCCCAGTCAGGAATGTTCCCTTCACTGAATGTATCTGTCTACCCAGCCGTCAAGAATGGCTCAAGCTCCTGTTTCTAATATGCTTTGTCTTACAACTGCCTCACATTCAAACTGGCTCAGATCTTTTTCACAATACAAATATGATGAGAAAGTCCCATAGCCTAGCTCCTTTGAAGCAAGAACTCTGGACGTGCCAGTGTTCATAATAAGGGTGTGATCTTGTCTTTAGAATCAAGGCCTAAGAAGAAAAAGCTGACAGGAAGCCAGACCAAGCTCCCTCAGGCCAAGTAATAGCACAGCTGCTAAAAAGCATGGACTCTGAAGTCAAAATTCAAATGCTGTATCCTCCATTTACTGGCTGTAGAATCTTGTACAAGTTACCTAACCTCTCTGGGCTTCAGTTTCCTTGCTTGTAAAATGAGGATATAATTATAGCACTGACTTTCTCAGGGGGTTATTATTACGTTTTGTCTTAGCCTGTGAAAACAAAGCCTGAGGCAAAGCTGATTGCAAATGTTTCATTAGGTAGTGGGAGATACAATCTTAGGGCATCAAGAGTGAAGGAAAAAGGGAAATGATTGTCAAGGAAAGCGGGAAAACAATAGAAGTGGTTCATAACTAAACTAGCCAAGCTTCACAGGAAAACATATCTGGCTGTTTGTTTATATGTGATTGCTCCCAAGAAGCCCTCAAAACAGTCCACAGGAGAGGAATGGAGAGGAAGTTATCTGCTGGCTACTTCAATTGCCTATCTCTCATTGGGCCAGTCCTTCCTATTCCAGATAGTGTTACTCAGTCCTTTAGGTATCCATGAACAAAGCAGGACCCTCCCTCCAAGGGTCTGGTTGGGTCAGAGCTGCTGCAGCTACTACTATCACAGCCAGAACCCACCCTTCACTTGAGACAGCTGGTAGCAGTGGGAGACAAGATGATGGTGGCAGCCAAGACTATTTGGGCAAGCAGCCAAAGTCCAGGCAACAGGTGGTTTTGCAGTAAATCTGAGGAGGCTCTGCTCTTCATATATTTGTTATATACATGGTTA